TAACAAATATTTGATCTCATTTTTATATATATATATAAAAATAAAAATAAAAATGAGATCAAATATTTGTTAATCTGATACTTGATTAACAATGTGCTTGGGAGAAGAAGTATTGAACATAAATATTCTGAGATTTTGGTAATTTCTTGCAATAGTAGCTATGCCTTCATTTGGAAGTTATCCAAACCACTGGTTTAACATGCTTGCCACCAATCCTTGAAGCAGCATAAAAGTACTCCAGTGTAATTTGTCTTGCCGCATATGTAGTCTCTATTCTCCCTCAGAGTGTGCTGTCCTGAGAGTTTACTACTGGGCAAACTGAGATTTAGCAACTGATGGACTTCCTGCTAGTTGTAAAAATATTCACCAATTGTTCTCCCTAATGTGAACTGAGGCAGGTGAGTTTTGACAAGTTTAGCCACCTGTCAAAACCTGAACTACAGGTTTGATGGCAGCTTTCTGTCTCTCCTGCTTTATTAGGAAGCTCCCACTCATGAGCAGTAGCAGGGTGGGTTGAGACTTCTTGGTATGTTAGAAAGAAAAGACTCTTTTAGTTTATGAGGAAACCCATCCCATTCCATCACTAATCACTGATTATCACTCTCTTTTGGTATAGCACTCCTTGTCACCAGCTTATCTTTCTCATATTTCTTGCTCTAATGCTCATTCTACACCTGTCTTCTAATTTATCTGTTTCTTGTACCCTCCCTCCCTCTCTTTTACTCTCCCACTTGCATTTGCTTACTTGACTTTCTCCTTCTTGCCTGCCTATCCTTATGCTTTCTCTTGCTTTTTCCTCTCTATCTAATGACAGCTAATAGATGCTGGAGGATGGACTCACTACTTCTGCCAGTTCTGTTGCTGTTCAAGTTGTATGTCACGATAATTTTTACACACAATCAACATTTTCCCATGAGATCACTAGACATATATAGGTCAGGAACCCAAGCAATGGCTAAGTGGCATTACTACCCAGCCAAGATGGCCACTGAGGGAAATCAAAGGGGGGCTGTACCTGCAGCAGCCAAAAGAGGTGAACAAGAGTTGGCAGATCCCAGCACCTGCCTCATCATTGCCACAGTTGCCACTGAAGCATCACTCAGGAGAAGATGGAAAGATCAGATTTGATCTTTTGAATAAGATAAATACAAAGTTAAGTGGAGATAAAAGGAAGGCTGCATCTTGAGGTGTCCCTCAAGAACCGTGAAACAGCTAATGTTTGGGGGATGAGTGGGTGTAACCTATAATGCTGAACCAGAATCCCATAAATATACAGGAGGGTTCTTCCAGAGGATATCAGAATTCTCAGAATCACTTTCTCTTACTATCATTGATAGTATGAGAATGAATGAATGAATACACACACACACACACACACACACACACAGTGTTTTTCCTGAGGATATCAGAGTTCTCAAAACCACCTTCCCTTACTGTCACTGATGCTATAAGAACAACAATAGGTTTTCTGAGTTTGGAGATTTTTTTGGAAGACTTTCCTTATTTCCACATCTTTGTTTCCACCTTTGATATCTTTATAGATGTCATAGTAATGATGTTTCTTGTCTCTTCTCTTCAAAAATGTTTTTCTCCTTAATATTTCCAATCACAAGCAGCACATCTTGTTTGCATGTTCTGTCAATTTAAAACTGATGACCATGAAACTCATCAACCTCCTCTTCTTCCACATCAGAGCTTGAAGCCTAAACTTTGATAATTGCCATATTAAAGGGATGTCCATGAGATCTTATTGATACTATTTGGTCACTGACTGCTATAGCCTTCCTCACTATGAAAGTAATGCTATTCCTACTTTGCTTTTTGTGTCCCAAGCAGTAAACAGCATGATGTTCTGACTGAAAGTGCCAACCATTTCAATTCACTTATGGCTAAAATATCAATGTGTAGTCGATTCTTTTCATCTTTTGTTGTGTTGAGCCTTCCCATGTTCATGCTTTTTATGTTCCA